GAGGATGGGTCAGAGGAAGGAGGGCCACCCGCTGGGCTCCGGTCCCGCCGTCACCGCTGCTCCGGTGAGAGCTGCCCTCCCATAGCATTTCCACTTTACAGCTCGGGAAACTGAGGCGCTCAGCTGCCGGTAGCGGCAGGACTGGGCCCCGATTTAACCGAAACGCTGGGGCACTTAATCACTGTCCTCTTAGCAAATGCTTTGTGAGGCCTCGGGCGTACCAGGCACTGGGGAGGCTCGGTGCAGAGCCCCTGGGCTTTGGAGATTGGTTGCAGGATTGCCTGGCAAGGATCACACTAGATGTAACTCGCGTGGTGCGTGCGCCAGGGCGTGTCACTCCTGCCCTTAGTGCACGTGCGGCGTGAAAACTGCACGGGGAACGGTTGCTGATAATAGAGTAGATGAGAAAGACCTGGGGGGATGCTGCCGAGTGCCAGGACTGAGCTCAGAGCTACAGGTAGAAGGGAGAGTGAAACCCAAGGTGACCTGACCCGCAGCTACAGGACAGGGTTCAGGCATTTCACACATTAATACATGTCGCTTTCTATTATCCTAATCATTTCCCAGGTTTTCATAACTTCCCAAGGGCAAGGATGTGCCCTTTTATTCTCTCCGTCCCCTCCCAATTAGCCCATTGCTTTCTAAGTGGGAGTCACTCCAGTGTTTGTGATTGACTCCCCAGAGCAGGGGCCCCAATTTTTGCATTTTTTGTCCCACACGGTGTTGGGGATATTGTAGGACCTCTGGGTTATTAGTGAAAGTGATAATGGAATAGCCTTATGATAGTTGTGTCAATGTAATTGCTTCTGTTTGGAGAAAAAAACCCAAAAAACAGAAACAAGCAAACAGTGAGGGTGCTCTGAGGTTTATGGTTTTGTTTTTTTTATTTTATTTTAAATTTATTTTAGAGAGAGGAGGGGAGCAAGAGAAACATCGATTTGTTGTTCCACTTATTTACTCACTCATTGGTTGATTCTTGTATGTGCCCTGATAGGGGATCGAACTCACAACTTTGTCATATCAGGATGATGCTCTAAGCAACTGAGCTACCCTGCCAGAGACCCTGGGCTCTTAAAGGAAGGACATCTGTCTAAAATTGAGCACTCAGAGAGTGCTTTCTGGGGGAGGTGGCAGCTCAGCTAGTCCGTAAGGGAGAGGAGGGGCTGGACCTGGGAGGAAGGAGGGGAGAGGAGAGGAAGTACTAAGGCCTGAAAGAGAGGTGGGCAGGTGTGTGTGGCCTGGCACCAACAGTGAGTGGTTGAGACACTTTTAATTAGAAGCGAGGGGTGACTGGTGATGAGGCTGGAGTCGCCCGCAGGGTTTTCCAGCTCATTCCACACCCTAAAACATCCACAGAACGGTGGAGCCAAATGGAGGGGAGACTTCCTGGAGGTGGCGCCAAAGCTGGGCCTTTAAGAGAGGATTTGCGGGAGGGACAGGGAGCTGAGCAGGCTTTCCAGCAGACACCAGGAGGTACAGAGCCCTCAGCAGGAAAGAACAGCTGAGTACTAGAAGCTGCCTAAGTGGCCCTGTGTAGGCTGACAGCAGTGTAATCTTGGCCTGCATCTTTAGAAATGTGTGTTCCCTGAGCATATCTGAGTCTGCATTTTTTATTTCTAGGCTTAGAGGCACCAGCAATGTTTAGAGTGGGCTCCAGGAAGCTCTGGGGTCTGACTGGAAAGTGCCTTGTATGCACGCTGCTCCATAAATGAACAAACAGGCATGGGGCCGCACAAGTCTCCCTTGTGGACCTCCCTCCTGGCCCACTCCCACCAGGCCTGAGAGCATAAGCAGTGGAAACCTTTAGCTGTGGCCCTTTAGAGGGTTAGCAGATTGGTGCAAAATGGACGGAGGGATGTAAAAGCATACATCACTATCAAAAGGTTGGACATCACCTACTTATTACCCGTCAGTAGGGGTCTGCTCGAGTGAATTTTCACCTGTTGATATGGTGGAGTACTGTGCAACTGCAGAAAATATGAGGGTGCTTTTTATATGCCTTCTGGGCTAATCTGCACGATATTAAGTAAAAACAACAAAGTGTAGAGCAGTGTGTGTAGCCGTAGGGATAGTGCACTGTGAGGAAAAGACAATGAGGGTGAGAACAGAAATATCTCATGTGTGAAGCCGGAGATACCTGGGGAAGAATTCACTAGAAGAAACGGGTACACTGATTGCCTTGGGGAAAGACCTGGTACCTGGCGGACAGTGAGGAGAGAGGCTTTTCAGTTTAGATCCTTTTGAATGTTTTTAAAACTCATTTACCAAAAAATGTAAGCTGTTAGAATGTAATTTATTCAAATGATTCAATTTAGAAATGTTTATGGTGAGAGCCCAGCTGCCATCCCTACCCCACTGCCCAGCCAGGTGACTCCCAGCTTTCTTTAGCTGTGGGGCTGCTCCCTTGTGTCACTTTTGAGCAGCCTCCACTCATTTAAGGGAGACTGAGGACCTGAGAGGTTAAACCTGCCTCTCCTTCCTGCCCAAGTGATGAGAGGTGCCCAGTCACACACACTGTGTGTGGGACTTCAGGTTCACAGTCTGAGTGTATTTAGTTATGGTGAGCAACATCTACGTTCTCTGCAAAGAAGAGGTCAGCTTTTTGCTGCCAGTGTCAGAGATGCACATCCCCTAAGCACGATGCTCGTATATCCCTGCGGGGACTTCTGGGTGGCATAGGGTAGATAGATAGCACTTCTCTTCGGTGGAAGTCACATTTGGGCACTGAATCTACTTCTAGGTTGGTAGTAAAAGTATACCAGTGAATTACCACATAAGAAATTTATTGCTTCATAATTCACCGTATAATAAATTGTTATGAAAACAAACCAAGTAGTAGGTATCAGTGATTTGAAACAAACTTCTGTACAAGGTTGTCTTTTTGAACCAACTAAAAAATTCACTGAACATTTTAAAATGTGTCTATAAAAGTGCTGATTTCATTTTCTCTACTTAACTGGAAACTGCTTTTTATATTTCCTCACTCCAATAGGAGCACATAGTTAATGCACATTTTGTTAGGACTGCCCCAATCTAAGTATGTTTGTTGCCTAAAACTGCATTTCCAAAGTTGGATGTGAAAGAAAAGATTCCCACACTAACAAAGGGATTATAGTTGATAATCCCAAATAATAGCTGAGTTACAAGTCACTTAGGGTTAAGGCAAGCTTCCTAGATTTATAGCAAGAGTAACCTAATCATGGCTATTTCCAGACTAAACAGACAGTGTTAAATGGCAGTGCTTGACTAAGCAGAACTTGCATCCCTGGAAACGCTGGGTTACATGGTTTGGGTTGCATTTTGTTCTACTGCTACAGGTTAGTAGAATTGGGTTAAACCTTGGGATTATATTGAGTTTACTCTATTTTTGGACTTTAGCGATTTGTCCTGAGTGTAGAACTCACCACTAACCCTGATTTTATGATGTAGAGATCAGAAGCCCTAGGTCCTGGTCTGGCCTGTAGAGAGTGGAGGTTGCAGCTGGAGCAGGCATGTGATAGGACCTGGGATGCATGCACTGTGTAATTCCTTTCCTCTGTTTAATCAGACACCCTTGTTGCAATAGGTGTTTCTAAACAGGACATTCGTGAGCAGATCTGGGACTACATGGAATCACAAAATTTAGCTGACTTTCCCCGACCTGTTCATCACAGGATTCCCAACTTCAAGGTACTGAAGCATCCGGGGGCATTCAAAAGGGAAACAGGATAATCCTAAATGGGTAGCATTAGTAATACAGTTACCATCCTGTTTCACGGTGGATTCAAATTCGGTGAGAGTGGTGGTGTGAAATCCAAGCCACCAGGCTGGGGTGTTTGTGTATTTCAAGACATCCCTTGTTACTTAACCTTCACTCTCAGAGCCTCTTGCTTTTCTGGGCAGGGTGGGTTGGTTGGCTGTCTTGTCAATTGGTAGCACTCAGTCTACTGTTTACCATTTGGGGCAGAGTGAAATGTTTATCCTGGCCAAAAGCATGTTACTGTGGTGCCTTTTCACAAAATTGGCTCCCTGAGGACAGTAAGGGTGATGCGCTCTGAGATGGGAGCCCCACCCACTGCTAGCACCTTTGGAAAGAGGAAGGCTTCAGCAGTCCCTGATGACGCTGGGCCTCAGTTTCCCAGCTGTTCAGAATAGAAGACAGTCAACCATATCTCTCTATGATAGTATTAATAGAAAAAAGTTTGCTTGAAAGAGGCAACATACACAGCCATAATCTTTGGCATAAATGTTTTCCAAGAGAAAAAAAAGCATTTTGAAAATACACTGCTATGTCAGGCCCGAAGGATACGGTCCATTTGTTTGCCATCACCCCTTGTTTTGGCTGGACTTTCTCTCCCCAGCCTGGCTTCCAAAAAGCAAGCCCTGGCCCTTCTCTGGTCCTTAACTGAGTCCTGAAAAAACTGTTCTTTTGGATGGTTTTTGTTGCTACTTCATTTTGGTTTAGTGCTCATTACTCCAGGGAGAGAAATAACACATGAAGTACAGGGAACAGATGGAAGGTGCGCAGGGTCAGTAATAATCTTTCAAAAGGAAATCAACTGGGAGAGGGATGGGCTAGGGTTAGTGCTCTGACCTTGATCCCTGTGCTCTGTCTTGATTTAGGTGGTGATTGCACAGGTGTGTTCATTTTGTGACAATTCATTAAGCTTACACATGATTTGTACACTTTTGGGAGTGTATGTTTCATTTCAGTAATAAATTGGGGCTAGGCCAGCTTTCTCAGCCCCTTTCTGCCCTGACTGCTTTCTTCGATGTTTCTTTGGGTGACTCTTAATCTAGTTTCACAATTAGTGCTTCCGCCCGTCTGGGTGGAATGCTGGAGCAGATGCTCAGGCTGCAGTTGTCCTCTCAGTAACTTGCAATTGCCTTTAAAAATAGGGTGCTTCTCGTGCCGCCGAGCATTTCCCACGCTTGCAGGCGTTCAAAATGGCCAGGACCATTAAAGTCAACCCTGATGTTCCCCAGAAAAGTGCTCGCTTCTTCGTCCTGGACGTAAGTGCAGTTTTGTCTGTTCACCTAACCAGGGCTCTTATCTGGCTTGCCAAAACATCAGCAACCTTGAAGTTTTTGCCAGAGCGCAGGAAGTTAAAGTGGACCCTGATAAACCGCTGGAAGGCGTTCGGCTGCTGGCACTGCAGGTAATCCCATTTCTCTGCACCAGAGCCATGGCCACTGACTGGGAGGCAATCTCCAGGTGGCTGGTAAATGCGTGCAGTCCAGTATTTAGCAGGCAGGTTCTTCTGACTCCCTCCCACGCAGAACATGCCCTGGGGTTATTTTTCCAGGAACGGTCCAGAAGTCTTTCACTGGCTCAGCAGCCATTCGGTCAGAGTCCGGAACGTTTATGAATTTAAAGATAAAGGACGAGCGAAATGATGACACTGAGGCATTCTTATTCCTGATGTGCTTCATCAGAAGGGAAAGATGACAATATGTTTATTTCCTTCTACATTTGTAATATTACAGTTCTTTGAACCATGGTAACCCATGAGTAAGGAATCTGATAAATGAGTCCCCAAAATATGTAAATTAGAACAGTGCTTGTTAGCTATATAGGCCCCCTTTCAAGAAAAAAAATTTCTCCAGGGTTGCTTTAAATTAATTTATTATAAGTCAATAAGCATAAACCTAAAATTTGGTATAAATTGTAATGCTCATAGCTCTTATACAACGATAAAATGAAAATAAGCCTATAAATTAGGTGCAAACAAAACTATAAAATAACATTCAAATAACCACTGATTTTATGAATGGGGTGGTAGTGTTTTGCTGAAACAAATTGCTGCTGATAGTGGGAACATGGTGCTAAGTGCCGCGGTGCAGAGTCTCTGGAATTGTGCCTTATGTCGCAGGCCTCGTGTGGTGACTCAGCCCTCCCTCCGCTCCTGAGAAGCCGTGGTTGTGCAGGGCACCTTTCATCTGGTGGTGAAATGAATACCAGGAAGTAATTTTACAGGGAATGAGGAGGCTGTAGGGGTCCTGCTCTGGTTCTTTCAACTGTCTGGTGTAGGAAATCATTCTGTCTTCTCTTTGCAGTTCAGCCCCGAGAGGGGTCTCTGGTTCAGGCTCTTGGGAAGCATTCTTTCCTCCCAGCCTTATTTCCCATCAGTAAGCCATCCTGATGAACTAGAGGTGGCAGCAGCAGCAGTGAAGGACCCACAGTGGGCGCGTATGTGTGAGGCCCACTTCTGTGTACACATTTCCCTATATTCGTTTAATCCTCCTGACAACCCTATAGGAGCGACCTCTATTCCCGCATGGCACTGAAGAAACCACACACGGTCTTGGTTAAGTCACATATCAGAAATAGATATATGACTCACCAGGATTCCAACTCACCCAGTAACCAGAGCCAGCTCTTTGTGTGTGTGTGAGAGGAGTGCAACCAGGTGACAGGGTGGAACAGCCGAGTCTTCACTGTCATTTATTTAGGGGAAATAAATAGCAAAGCTGCATTTCCAGCTCCTCTGGGCACAGGACCGTAGTGGTAAAAAACATACAGTGACACCTGTGGCCCCTATACTCTACAGCCACAGGCTCATCAGTGGTTTTGAGAAACTTTAGTGGGTTAAGAATCACTTAGGAAGCAGGTAAAACTGCAGGTTCCCCAGTCCCACCTGAGTACAGGCAAGGACGGTGCTGTACACGGCCATAGACTGCACCTGGGGACGCACAGCTCCCCAGGCTCAACCCCAGGCCTCGAATTGGTTTCTGGATTCTGTTTTTAATAAACACCTGATGGTGTTTGAGGAGCATTGGCCTTGGCTTCATTTCTCCACCCTCACTGCACGTTGTACCCTCCAGGGAACTTAGGAGATGATCTGTTGCCGATGTCAGGTTCTGAGTCCAGAGGCTCTGAGTGGGTCTGGACCTCTGGAAATCTTAAAGTTCCGCAGGTAATACTAACGTACAACTAGAGTTGAGATCCACTGAACTGTAGGTGAGTAGCTTCCAGAAAAAGGAGTAACTGGAATCAGTCTGCAGTATACCAGAGTCCTCTGGAGACTGTGGGTGAGATGGACTCAACACTATTTCACACTCAAAAGGAAAACAGTATGTGGTCATTACTTGTGTTGAAATGGTTTTCTCTTGTGGTTGAAAAACCTTCACTTAAGTAAGCCAAACTGATTTTACAGGTCTTTTATTGGTCTCAGGCTGTTATCTCCTGCACAAAAACTAAAATATACAATTTTTTACACAAAAGATTTTATAAATTTTATGATTGCCTTATGACCCACCCCTTCGTGATCTACAGAAATGTCCTTGGGCAGGGGGTTCTCCCGACTGACCAGGTGGGCTTGTTAAGCACATCGCTGTTCCCGCCCCCAGAGTTTCTGATCATTTCTAACAAGTCCCCAGGGGTTTCTGCAGCTGCTGCCCAGTCCCCACTTTGAGAAGCCCTGTGTCCTCTGATACTCACAATCTGAGAACTAAATGAAAGTAAAGAGCCGTTGGCACACACCAATGTAAAATATTGATTATATCAAGTGCTGACCTCTTAGACTGTGATTTATTGAACAGCAGACTAGATAGATATAAATGCTTGATGGAATAACATCATTAATGTAGCTCTAGCGAACAGTTTCAAATTAAAACAGTAACTGTATAGTACTTATGCTGAGAACAGGGGACACAGGAAAGCTGTGGTAGGATGTTTTGTAAGAACAGGCCTGTGTTTGGATTTGTCTTGTCACTTTTTACCTGTAACAATTTTCATTAGCAATAAAGTAGAATTAGCCATTTAATGAATGCCCTGCTTTTTATCCTTAGGCGGGGTGAAGTAGTGACTCTAAGTAAAATTAACCCCTATGCATTATTTACTTGTTTGCAAACAAGTAATTTCCTTGGCATACACCAAAAAATTGCAGATAATAGTAACTTGTTTCCACTCCTGAAATGTTAAAAACGTAGACAAGAAAGTTCCTATTTCGTTTTGTAATTTATTGATTGTCTTTCTTTTAAAAGAGCAAGAAAACATTGTTGGTTCCAACACCACGATTGAGAACAGGGTTATTTAATAGGATCACACCACCCCCGGGGGCAACTAAAGACATCCTGAGAAAATGCGCCACCTCTCAGGTAAGTGGGGGAAGCAAGTCACTCACCAAGGAAAGAACTGTTCTCAGCTGCAACTTGATGAGTTAGAATAGCATAAAATACACCACAAAGTATTTTTAACAAAGTCAGATGAACAGAGATGTTTAAGTATTCAGCAATCCTGTCATTAAGGGAGCCAAGTAGAAAAACTATGAATACATGGATTCCATTTTTGTAACTTGGTTTCTATTTTGCACCAACCTGGCAAATTATAAATTCTGTTTAAAAAAAGAAAAAAACAAGTTACAGTACCTGGTACTCTGGCGCCCTCTCATGTTAATCTGTGATGTTCAGCATCCTGTAGAGTTTTATCAAATGCCACCAGAGCAATTGGGGACACATGGTAGAATTTCCAAAATATGTTCAGTTGAAGCCCTGGCAGGCTGGCTCAGTTGGCTGGAGCATTGTCCCGTACTCCAAAAGGTTTTGGGTTTGATCCCCAGTCAGGGTGCTTATGGGTGGCAACCAGTCCATACTTCTCTCTCACATTGATATTGCCCTCTCTCCCTCTCCTTCTCTTTATCTCTCCCTCTCCCCCTCTCTCTAAATCAATAAACATATCTTCGGGTGAAGATTAAAAAAATATATATGTATGTTCAATTGGAAATTCCCTCACCAGTTCTAAATTAGAGATCCAGAGTCATGAACCTCAAAGAGATTGTCATTTACTTTATGGCATAGGGAAAATGGTAAAGGGAGAGAAACACTTAAGGCCATGTCCACGTGCAGATGCAGATTTTAGTGTGATCATTATTTCAGTTGCCAAAGCTTAGTGGCAGAAATGCTGCCACAGTGCCTAAATTCTCTGGGAGACTCTAATAGTGTCTCATTTCTTGGAAATAAGGCTCTGAATTTGTCCTTCACCACCTCAGCCCCCTGCCACTGCCACGCCCAACCACCCGTGTCTGTCACCATTGTCACTGTATTTACTCTGACATAGGAGTGTTCGGGTAACCACACTGTGGGCAGACAGAAAAGTATGTTAATCACATGATTTGAACATGGCTTTGGAGAATCAGGAGATTTCTGGTTGCTCATGCTCTGCCTGGCTAAACTTAGGAGGTGAGGCTGACTGAACGAGGGAAGAGGAATTGTGACAGACAGACAGAGTTACACCACAGAAAATCCCACACAGCTGTCTGCTCACCAAGGCTGCCAGACACTGAGCCCATAGAAACAGAGTTGGGGACAAGGGGTGTGGATGGCCACTGTGAGGTTAAGAAAAGACAGGCTTTCCTGCAGTGGGACCACCATGGGCTGTTGACTGGTTTGACTGTTGGAAGTCCCCCAAACTAATCACATGTATCGATCCTGTAAGTGGCTTGTCATACTTGTAGACAGGGCCAGGGCCTACTACCCTACCCAGTGATTCACTTCTGCCAGCACTGCTTCTGCCAGCACTGCTCCGTACATGGTCCCAGTTTGGTTTCCTATATTTACCTGTAGCCCTTGTTATCAGAATCCTGACTGTATCAGCTTTCCTATTCGTTTAACACAGGCCCCGTTAGTTAGTACACATGGCTGTACTTTCTGTGCATTTTGGCTGAACCAGTAATATTTCAGAAGTGAGAACGCTGTATGTGAAGGTAACAGCCTCCACATTTCATATTGAATTAATGTGGCACACACGTGTGTACATGTCAAATGCTTTACCTCCGGGTGTCTTTGCACTATAACACCAGTCTGACAAGTCCTGGGGTGGGTTCCCTGTCTTAAAGGTGAAGAAACTGAAGATCAGAGAGCCTCCTCCCTCGAGGTCACAGGGCAAAGAGGGATCTGGGCCCAGTTCCGCGGGCCTCCTGAGCCTGGGTTTTAATCACTTCTCCTCTATGTCATAGCAAAAACTGATTTGCTAAATATTATGAAATTAATATTCTATCCATGTGTGCTGTCAGTTCCTCCTGGCTTCTTTCCTAGGGAAGAAACTGTGGGAAATTATCCTAAAATAGTTTTCCTGAGATGCTGAGTGTTTGTTGTAGGCCTGCGTGTCTGTCTGCCTCTTGCAGGATGCTGATTCAGACTCCAGCTCGCCTGTGAGTTAGGAGGTGGGGCAAGTACTCGCTGCCAGTGAAGCTTTCAGCTCCTTGTCTGTCTGCAGGGCGTGAGGAACTACAGCGTTCCCGTGGGCTTGGACTCCAGGGTCCTGGTGGACTTAGTCATGGTGGGCTCCATTGCCGTTTCTGAAAAAGGTAAGATTAAAAACAGACACTCATGATGCAACCACTTACCCTGCAGCTTGCTGTTCCAACAGCTCCCTGTTCATCTTTTAGATGCTGATGGTAAGTAACGTCAGCTTTCTGGACACATGCCTGGCTTCCCAAACCAGTACATCTACCATTCATTTTGAAGAGTTAACTCTGTCCCTCCCACTCCTGGCCCCACTCACCACTTTTACAGTATTTCCCCTCTTAACAGGAAAAATAAAGTTGAGATCATCTCTCCTTGAGTGGTGAAAGATTTTCCCTCTGTTCTTAAGTTAGCTGGAACTGGAGCTGAATTTATTTGCAGTGTGTCAGTAAATAGTTGGTTTTGGAGAGCCTCCAGTAAATGGAAAAACATTAAGTACTAAACATTGTTTTTGTTATGAAGCAGCAACCTCCTGGACAAGACGGGGTGCCCTGCACCTGCCTGCGAAGCCTGTGCTTTGCCGTGCAGGCAGGTGAGCAGCTTGGGGTCTATGCTCTGCCAGATCACCCTCAGACTTGGGCCCCTGTGGTTCCCGAGGTACCTCTTCCCTCTCTGCATTGCTCTACCCCAGGCCCAGCCTGATGCTGTTTGAAAACAATCTGCTTATTCTTTGGTGGGATCAGTGGTTCCAGGTGGGATTAGCCCATATCAGACCTGCACTTACATAGTGTGATTTGGGGCCCCCACTAGGAAAGTGTTCTCTGTCCTTGCAGCCTTCTATTTGTTTATTTTTTAAAAAATTTATCTTTATTGTTTAAAGTATTACAGATGTCCCATTTTTCTTCCCCATTGATCCCCTCCACCCCACATCCACCTCCCGCCCTGCCCCAGACCTTCACCACACTATTATTGTCTGTGTCCATGGGTTATGCACATATGCATATAAGTCCTTTGATTAATCTCTTCCCACTCACTCCCCCACCCCCACTTTCCTCTGAGATTCCTCAGTCTGTTCCATGCTTCTGTGTCTCTGGACCTATTTTGTTCATCAGTTTAATTTATTCATTAGATTCTACATATGAGTGAGATCATGTAAAACGGAATCAGGAAGAATCAGAAAACCTGAATAGACCAATTACGACTGATGAAATCGAAGCAGTAATAAAAAAAACACCTCCCAGCAAACAAAAGCCCTGATCCAGACAGCTTTACAGGGGAGCTTTATCAAGCATTCTGCTTCTTATTACAGCAGTCCCTTTAACATTTCTTGCAATGCTGGTTTGGTGGTGATAAACTCCTTTAGTCTTTTTTTGTCTGGGAAACTCTTTATTTTGAATGATAGCCTTGCTGGATATAGTAGTCTTGGTTTCAGATCCTTGCCTTTCATTACCTTGAATACTTCATGCCATTCCCTTCTGGCCTGTAGAGTTTCTGATGAGAAATCAACTGACAGTCTTATGGGAGCTCCTTTGTAGGTAACAAATTGCTTTTCTCTTGCTGCCTTTAAGATTCTCTCTTTGTCTTGAATTTTTGGCATTTTAGTTATGATGTGTCTGGACGTGGGCCTCTTTGGTTTCTTCTTGCTTGGGACTCTCTTTGGCTCTTGAACTTGTGTGATTTTTTTTCCTTCACCAGGTTAGGGAAGTTTCCTGCCATTATTTCTTCAAACAGGTTCTCTATCCCTTGGTCACTTTCTTCACTTTTACGATGCTAATGTTATGTTTCATGTCCCACAGCTCCCTTAAACTGTCCTACTGTTTTTTTAATTGTTTTTCCTTTTTGGATTTCTGATTGAGTGCTTTTTTCTACTGTCTTCTAATTTGCTGAATTATTCCTCAGCTTCCACTAATCTGCTATTTATCCTTCTAATGTATTCTTTATTTATGCTATTCCCAGCCTTCTAAAAGACAAAGAGAGATACTGTTATAAGATGCTCATCCCCAAAGCTCTCTCTTTGAAAATTAACTGGCCTAAGTCAAGTTCTTTGTTCAGGAGAGGTTCCCAGTAAATAGTTGGGGAGAGATGCTCTAAGTCAATCATTGAGCTTGGTGTTTTTAAATGCTCCTCTTTAATATCTTCACCTTAAATTTCCTGTCTTTTCCCAGTTCTCTGAGCTAGTATGTGAGATGTTGTAGTTCTTTATTCTTTGCTTTCCCTGTGCACAGCTACAGATACTTTAGCTGTGTCATCAGGGTGGGTGCATATGAGCACACCTTTCCTGCATGCCTACCATGGGTCAGGATCCAGGCCCACAGGGTGATCTTTGCCCTGGGCCTGAATAGCTGAACTGCAGTACCATGTGCTCAGTGTCAGAAGTGGAAATTAGGACAGACGTGAATGGGGTCAGAGGAGGGACCTGTGAGCCTCGAGCAGGGCATCATCTCAGAAATGACATCAGGGCTAGCTCCTGCATGCCATTTGTTTATAAGGCAGGTGAGACAGGAGAGGGAGAGTATATGCCATATGGGTAGTGCTAGCATGAGATGTTGTCTTGTCACATGGCCTATGTCATCCTTTGGTGATTCCTCTCCATGGGAGAGGAATTACCAAACCTGAGGGAGGATTTTAAATCCTGATGGATGTTTCCAGATTACCCACCAGAAAGGTTGCCCACCTCACATCCCCAGCACCATATGCCTTGCCTCTCTCCCCACTCCTGTGTCAATAACTAGAATCATCCAACTTTCATTTTTTACCTAGCCGATGATATTTCATGTGCCTCTTGATTTGCATTTGTTACGAGTGAAGTTGAAAATTTCTCATGAGTGCTGTTCATCTGCCCATCTTTCTGTGGACTGTTCACATCCTTTGCTGTTTTTCTGCTGAACTGTCTTTCTCTTATTTCTTTGCATGCAGGGTTGAAGGCTTTTAATTGTAAAAGAAACATGATTAGATCTGAATCTGAGAAAGACACACGAACAGCTATGCTTACTCTCTCTGTGGTGATGCTGATGTTAAATAGGAGTCAGAACTTCTGCACTGTCATGGGCTGCTACCCAGAGCAACATTATCGGCTCGTTTTGGGAGCCAGAGGCATTTTAATGTTTACTGTCTTGCTGCTTTCTTTCCTCCTGCTTGGCTTCAGATACTGATCTCTTTGTGGTGCTGCCATTTGTGAATCTGCAAAAACAGCACTAGTGCTGCTTAAACCACCCTCCCTCAGGAGCTGTAGGGTTAAGCTGGGCAGCTCTTCAGTGCATTTTACAAGATAAGGCTATGCTGTCCTAAATCACATATCCCTGATTTAAGAGTTTCTGTTTTCCCTGCAGGGGAAAGAGATAGAAAAGATTTTGCCTTTAGTAGGAAGTTGTTCTTAGTCTTTAAAAAACAACTCTTTTGTTATTTTTAAATGTAGTCTTGCTAACATAAATCTCACATAAATGCAAGCTCAGGTTCCTTTTGTGGCATGTCTGAAAGGTTCAATTCTCAGTTCGTTGTGTGTTAACCACTGTAATATCCAGTGTTATTCCTCCTTGAGTCCTGTAAGTCCATTTTCAGTGGGCTGCCTATGGGGTTACTATGTTAGTTTCCATGGAAGGGCCAGGGATATTGGGTCCAAGTTTCTCCTTTCACTGTGACATAATGAAATTTGCTCCTGAATGATTTCCCAGACCCTAAAGAGATATTGATTCTCTGCATTGTCTCCTAGGCTGGAGAATTGGGAAGGGAGAAGGTTATGCTGATCTTGAATATGCCATGATGGTGTCAATGGGAGCAGTCAGCCAGGGGACGCCAGTGGTCACCATCGTCCACGACTGCCAGGTGCTTCCTGTGGCCAAGCAGAGCCACTGCCGTGCTCCTCTGAGAGAGTGAGGGGGAGGGAAAGAGTGAGAGAGGGAAGGGTGGGAGAAAGAGAGATAGTCCGAGACAGACTAACTGCTGTGTCACGAGTGGTGTTGATCAGCTGGGGCTGGACCTGTTCAGTGATGCGGCAGCTGGGCTTCATCCCAGTGGGTCTGGGGGAGTTTCGTCCCTCCACTGTGCAGTACAGTGCTCACAACTGCAACTATATTCCCTATCAGCTCCTTTACCCATTTCTGTTTGACCAGGTCATTGACATACCTGAAGTGCTCCTGGAGGATCACGACCTCACAGTGGACTATATTCTCACTCCAACGAGAGTCATCGCCACGGGGTGCGAGCGCCCAAAGCCAACTGGAATCACGTGGTCTAAGGTGGGTCACCATGTGGCATTGAGGGCAGCCACAGCATCCTGTGGCCAGCGCTGGGCCATATCTTAGAGGCATCTCCTCTTTCACTGTGTTCTCTATCTGGCATGGCAGCTGCCCCAGGCCTGGGGTGGCTGTACGTTAGAGTTACTGTGAGCTTTTGACTAATTCAGCTCCTGATCACTGTCTCTAGGCATGGGCCTAAGAATCTACTTTGCAAACCTGTGGGATTCTGATAAGCAGCCAGGTTCAAGGTCTCCCTCTACAAGACATCTGGCTATAAACCTCAGAAATGACCTGATCCACTAGGAGGGCTAATGACTTGAGTTTATTTGCCAACTGGTTTATAGCATAATACTTGAGAGACTGTACTTGGAAAGCTAAATGGGCACTTCAAGGCCTGGGGTGGCATCTGTGGAAGAAGACATGTTTTCTGGCTTTATACTCCTTTGAGCATGCTTACTCTAGAATTTTTTCACCTTGGGCATTTGGAGGAACCTCAAAGCCTTTTCATCAGTGAATATGCTTTAGTCTCATGCCAGAGAACTAATCATTTTGGTGAGTTGTATTTCACATTAGAAACACTTCTGGTGTTTCTGTTTATCTTTGCCAGCAGCTGCTCAGACCTGCCCTAGCCTTTTAGAATGAGAGAGATTTTAAAGAACGCCCATCCTAGTCTCCTTATCTCTGGGCAAGTAAAGCAAGAGCCAGAAAGAAAGTAACTTATCCAAAATCATAAAGCCAGTGTGTGGTTGAGGTAAGATTAGAACCAAACTCTCTTCTTTTTGGGTTGGCAGCCAATGCCTTGAGAGTCCAATTTCTGATTTTTATTGGACTTACCATATATTTATAGGGGACAGGTTTTTAATGTAATCATTAAAGAGAGTATATACTTATAAGTGACTGATATCTGTATGCTTCAGTGAAGCGTGATTATAGCATATAAAAGAAAATCAAATTTGCTTTATACTATTTTTTTAGTTACAGAAGGGTGGAAATATTTTTTTATGTTTGATTAACAAGCAACATCTTTCATTGCACATGGCAAGTTGACAAAATGTAACAAATGTTCCTAATTGCCAGCCAGGAAAAACAGTAGCACTGTCATGGACCTGTCCCGAGTGTGACGTCCAGCCTTTGGTTGGCACACAGAGGCCTTTCTGTCAGCTGCGGGGCCACAGTGGACCAGAGCATGTGCCAGTGTGGTGGAGCTATAGGCTTCCAGCCAGTGTATAGTGTGTGGTTAAAACATTAAATTATTCTTCAGCTGGTTATAGTAGGTGCGTGTGCCAGGCCCATGATGTGTGCAGAAGGATGGATTTTTGCCTCATGTGGCATGTTTCAGAGTGAATTTCTGCTGCCTAAGTATAGAGCTTTGCCCTGTGGGTCAGGTTTCCTGAGAGAACTTAGTTCCTGAGGGAGCCCTCTGGTTCCACCAGGGAAAAACACACGGGAGTTACAGCATTTGAGGGTGGTCACCCAGCCGAGACAGCGCTGGAGTGGGACTCACCAGGTGAGGCCTGCTGGCTCCTTCCGCTGCTGCTTGGAGTGGAATAACATTTAGTTCCTCCATGTAGGTATAGTCCAGCTTTTTCTCTGATTGCAAATGCAGTCTTTAATTTGCTCATCCTTTCTAAATACCAGAGCTAGTAACTTAAGAACCTAATTATGGCCAGTGTAAATTGGTTTTAAATATTCTGAAAGAACACAAGAACCTAAACGATTTAGGAAGATAGAGCAGGGACTTGGGAAGGAGTCAGGTTGGTTGGACCTAGATAAACTTTGGGATTTTTTTCTAGAGCACTGGTCTGTGAGTTTAATCACTTTGCGATGAATCAGTTCAAAAGAATTACAGAGGGACAGTGTGAATAGTTCCTTTCAATTAGAAAAGAGTAGTCCCATCTTGTGGATATCCGATAGCATAGACATGATTTTGTTTTCTTTGTATCTGAACAGTGGGCAACATTAGAAGGAACAAGGCTGTCTGTGCGCCATCCTTCCATGGCACCTGAGAGTCTGTGTGCCATTCTAGAGGCCAGAGAGGATGAGTGCCCCCTGCAGGGGCTTTTGACATGGCCACGCCAGGGAGCAAGGGCAGTGTCTGGTCGGAGAGGGCTCTGACCCTCAGAAAGGCTTTGCCGAGGTGGAGAGTATTGTGCACTTAGAACTAGGTGCTAAATTAACTCTGCAAGAAGGCACTTGACTCTCCTGAGGCATTTGTGCCTCTGTAAATCTTACTCTAATTCACTGATTTTTTAACCTTGGGCCTGTGCACTTCTTGTGGTTTGGAAGTCCATGGACAGACATTGGGAATTGCACACAGAATTGTGGAAGAGTCCCAGGGAGGGAACCCCAACTTCTCTCAAAGGTCCCTGACACCCTGCCAAGGATAAGAACCATCGCTCTAAGGTACATATGATTCTGAATATAACTAGAACATTGATACTAGTCAAACTGTTTATTTTTGCCCTGGCCTGGTAGCTCAGTCGGTTAGAGTGCCATCCCAATACGCCAAGGTTGCAGGTTTGATTCCCAGTCAGGACACACAAAAGTTAACCAATGAATGCTTAAATAAATGGAACAACAAATCAGTGTTCCTCTCCCCACCCCCTCTCTCTCTACACTAAAATCAATAAATAAAATTGAAAAGAAAAACTTTTTTTTTTGGTAGAAAAATTGCACTTATCTCCTTGTGGGCTGATCTGTCTCTGACATGCCCACATTTGGGGGAAGCCGAGCCTGGACCATTGCTGGCCTCTTTGACTAATCACTTATATGCTTCACACCCAAAAGAAAGGCAGAAGCACCATTAAAGAATGAGGGTCATCAAAAGGACTCAAGAGTGTTTTTCTGCCCTTTTCTGCCTCATGATTCCTCTGAGAATATGGGACTAGTTCTGCCCCAGGCTCAGCCTGATCGGACCAGTAGCCCCAGTGTCACTGCCCCACCCGATGGGGCCAGCGGTCTCCACACTGCAGCCAAATAGAGGCAGTTCCAGTCTGTTCAGGTGGGCTCCATGGTTGAGCCTCACTTACTGGGACACTTACTGCTTCCTTTGTTGCAGGTTATAGGAAATATCTGTTGACTGATTAGGTCAAAAAGCCAAAGATGCCCTATGTATAGAAGTCCTATCCATCGAGACTTAATGTTTGCGTGTGTGTGTGTGTTATTTGTTATTTTAGACTCGTTGCTAGAGCTGTTTTGAAAGGTGGTGTTTTATTTCAGATTTGCCTTGTTTCCACATTTTCAGTGACACATTTCTCTGGAAATGCTCTTTCAGTGGAGGCTTAGAGAAGAGGAGGGAGAGATCCCTGTGGCCTATTAAAGACCTCATTCTGCCCAACAGCTGAGATCAGGGGGAGGGGACAGGTATGCAGGCCACAAAAACCATTATCCTGGGGAGCCGGCAGGGGAGGTGCCATTTGTGACTCTGTAACCCTCACACTAATTACCTTAGCTACTTCCCTCTGTGTAGGAGGCCTTCGGTTCTCTGCTTTCTGGGCTTCTAGAACAGAGAAAGCCTCCCGTTCTTGCCAGCTGCCATGGCATGCCTTAAGCCAGGGAATCAAAGCTACTAATTTAGACAATGGGGGACCCACATCACAGAGGGCCAGGTGGGCTCATTCGCATCTAGTCCACTGGTGCACATGGCTTACCATGCACAGACAGAGATGTCTGTCCAGAGCATGCGTGGCAGAGGCGCCTGTGGGATTTTCATTTCTCCTCCCTCATGACCAAGTCCTGGTTCTTTTTGGACACCCTGAGAATAGCTGGAACTGCTTTACTTTTTCAGATCAGCTGTGAGATGATGGCGAGAATCCCAATACTCAGAAGCCTTCGCTCCCGAGAGAAGCAGGCTGGGAAAGATGTTACCCTTCAGGATGAGCACCAGCACCTAGAAACCTGTGGCCAGCACACAGCTCCACCAAGCACTGTAAGAAGACCCTGGGACCCACCCCAGCCGGAGTCAGGTTCCGTGCAGGGGGAGGATGTGCCTTCTAACACTGTTTACATCGGGAACCTCCCCCAGGATACCCGAGTGAGTGAGCTGAAGAGAGCCCTCAGAGAACGGGGTGCAGCCCCACTGCGGCTCACCTGGCAGGGGCCACAACACAGGGCCTTCCTCCATTACCAGGACCCAGCCTCGGCCCAGCAGGCCATCTCCTGCTTGCAGGGCTTACACCTGGGGACCAACACTTTGAGGGTGGCGCTGGCCAGGCAGCAGAGGGCCAGTGACCTGGAGAGCTGCACCCGGACCATTACGCAACCATCTGACCTGTGACAACATGGACCTTCAGAGGCCTGGATAGTAGGATGCGGATAGTAGGAGGCAGCTGAGCTGTTGCTACATGAGCTGCTTTGACAAAGTTCATCCTTTCTAGGAAGTCACAGCCTTTAGTTCCTGCCTGGTGATCTGATGAGTAGGGGAAATTAACCGGTAGCACACTTCCTGTGTTTAGGAGGCTGAAAACTCCATGGATTCACCTCTGGTTTATCATGCTCCCTTAGCGCACTGGATATTATAGCCATGCTGGTTTCTCTGGAGAGACAGCAGTTGAGAGGGTTTAGGGGACCAAATGAGCAATAAACAGGTGGGAGTAAATGGTGTCAGTGATTTAGGAGAGTCTGCATCTGGTTTTGAGGGGAGTGGGATGTTAAGAGAGGACAGACAGAGGATCCTGCCAGGAGAGGTCCTGCAGGGACCAAATGCAGGAGCACAGTGGGGCAAACCAGAAAACACGCTCACGCCCCAGGACCCTTGGCCTGGCACTACTGGGCGGGAGTGGGGCAGGGGAGGGGGGGCTGTATTCAAATCACAGAAGCCAAGTAACAGCCTCCTGGGTACAAACCACTTGTCTCACCTCAGTCCTGGTGTCAGAAATGGTGAGTTGATGTGACAGGGACCCTTGGTGGAGTGGTCTCGCCTCCGCCCCCTCCTTACCTTTCCAGCCCTTCTCACCTCTGGGCTTCACTCTCCACTCCTGGCCAGCTGCCCCTGCCCACGGCAGGAAGCGCTGTCTCTAGGAGGGGCTGGCTCTGGAAAGTGAGTCATGCAGGCCTGTGTCACTGAGCCCTGCAAATGCTCACACACTCACATTTGCCCAGTGCCTTGTTTTCCGAGTTTTTTCCTCTCGTTCCTTGTTCCTAAAAAACAAGCTGGATTTTGGCTGAACTATGCTTTCTAAACAGAGCGCTTTTTCAATTGATCCTGGGCACAACGTCAAAATAAGCATTTAAGTGGAGATTTTTTTTTTTCAAATGTACGTGCATTGGAAATTTCATTTTTTCACCTGAGGGTCTCACTGAGTGTATTTTAAGTACCTTATTATGCCTCAAGAGGCCGGGCCTCTCACGCACTTTCAGGAAAATGTTCTCAAGGTACTCCGTCTCCCTGGGAAAAAGCATTTTCTTACTGGTTTTACAATGAAAATACTGTGGAGACTTTGGAAAGAAAAACCTATCCTGTTGACCTTAAACAAACAGACATTCCTCTAGCAAAATGGCTTTATTCAGGAACAACAAAGAACCGCAATTCAGGACACGCGGTCTAACGCAAACCACACACGCAGCCCGAGGAACGGCGGACAGGACTTGGGAGGAGCCGATGTAAACGAAGAGTCCATTGGAGGAGACGCAAGGCTGAAAGTGCGGTGACTTTTCATTGGCTGGGCTCTGGCAGCCTCCCATTGGCTGAGCTGTAACGGCGGAAGGAATCTCTTCCTCGTCTGCAGCAGTCGCTCGAACCCCGCCCGGGAGATGCGGGGTCCCGTCCGGGGCGGCGGGGCGCGTGGAGCGCCGCCTGAGCGGCTCCTCCGGCCTAGGCCTCCGCTCAGCGAGGTTTCCGTCTATTAACTTCCGCGCTCCTTAGATTTGCTCGTTCGGTTCAGACTCCGTTTCTAAGTTGTTAGGAATAAAATGAAGGCGGAGAGCTCTGTCCAGTGGGCCGGGGCCTTCCCGCCTTGGGGCCGCCGGGCTGCCCCTCTCCCGGCCGGGGCTGCCCACCCGCGCGG